ATGCACATACGAGAATTTAACAAATTCATACCACTAGTTAGTTTTTCCATTGATTATATCTTCATCAACTCAACATACTCCTTTTATTGATGTTACTATCACTTTCGACCTCCCCGGGTCGTCCGCGGACAACCCGATCATCATAGACTCAGACTCGGATGATGAAAGCAATATCTTTGTTCCATATGTTCATGAAAGCAATATCTTTGTTCCATATGTTCGTCAACCTTCGAACCGCCATCGAAGGGTTTGCCTTCAACCAATTCCTTTTCTGAATCTAATCGACGAAATTGAACTAATTCAAGTTCATCGTGAGATCGTCCCAGTAGAGGTCCAACTGGAACCACATCATATGTTGTTGGATAAAAATGTTGGAGCAGTTCTCGTCGAAAATGAAGATGTGATCACCACAAGCTCCGACGAGAAGTATGACATGATATGTCCTCTTTGTCCGTGGTGGAGGATATGTAGAAGATACAATCATCGTAAGTGAAATGTTTACGTATATATACTAGTGTTAAAATCCATATAGGTGATGGATATTTTTTGGGGTGATCACCATTTTGTATAATAGTTGTCTACGACATGCATTGGAGTTATGGCTTCCTTTTGTTGTGATTGCTATTTCGTCTGCTCCAATGACTTAGGAGAACGAGTCATTCATGGGTTACTTTTGTATCCATTACCACATTGTGTTTACAATGATTAAGAAAATTTCTGTGATGAATTAGATATATGATTGTTCACTTATATGATTATATGATGAACGAAATGATATCGTAATGAAATGCTCATAAGAATATATGTGATCACCATTTCCCTTGTTTGTAGTTATACCCCAAACCTGGCATTTCTTGTTTGTATCCATTACGATATTCTAAAATTAAGTGTTGTTTGTATTTAGTGAAATGCCCATACGAATTTTCCTGTTTGTGCGCTATAAATTTTGAACGACAAGGATAATATAAGAGAAAAATCACAAAAAATGGGATGAATCCGTAAAAAGGATTCAGAATGTATTACAAACTTAATTTTAGAATAAGCAATTGCAAATAAGTGCTATGAAGAGAGAACGAAGAAAGAAACAGGAAGAAGTAAAAGTCAAAATATATTCAACAACATTCAAAACAGGAGATGAACAACTAAAATAGAAAGCAAGTAATACAAAAAAAATATATTCAAAACATTGATAATCCATGTTATCGAAGCATTTGACGATCGGAATACACAATGTCATTCAAGTATACGTGTCACTTAAAGGTGTCGAATTCTAACATGTTTGCCTGTTATGTCCAGAACCCCCACATTGGCCGCATTTTCGTGTCAAAGTCGACCTTTCAGTTCTTGACCGTCGACGTTGGGTAGGAGGTCGACCTGGTGCTCTACGTATATTCGGGGGCAAAATTTCGACGGAACGAATAGATTAAGGAACAACCCAATCTGACTATTGGCCAACGGGGTGAAGAACTTCGTTGTACGTAGCTCACCAACATTCTGTGGTGTAGTAAGGAGAGCACAAATCATACAATGATTTCTTTTTGCGCAAGCAGCTCAAGATGCATGTAAACATGGGATTTGTCATATCTAAAACTCTCGACATGAACATGTGTTACCTATAAGGTCGACAGTACAAAGTTCGGTAGCTACACCTACCTCAAAAATGAGTTCGTCCAAATTTCGTACTGGTAAAGTTGCACCGGCGTCGAATGATTTTCTCAATTCATCATCAATTTTTGGTGTCACAGTCGTACTGCATTTCGTGGATGCGCTTTTTCTCTCGTAGAATCATCATTGCATCAATGGCATAATAATTTCGACCAACGAGGTTATAGGGAAACTTCGTTGTCATCTTAGGACTGAATTCAGTGACTCCGCAATGTTATTCGTCATAACGTTGTACCGATTACCAATAAAATTTGCCCGTGACGAGGTGGATATACCGGCACGTTCCAAGTAAGATGCCATTGACGGTCGAATGGTTCTTATATGTGTCATGAACTGATCAAATTTCGATACGCGGTATGCTAGCGCTGCCCGCTTGAACAAGAATATGACATTGCTACTGCTATACCTAGCAATAAGATTTTTCTCGATATGCCAGATGCAGGCACCGTGGTGAGAAAGTGGGAACAACCTCGTAATTGCCCGCTTAATACTCTTCTTCTTGTCCGACACAAACACTAGCTGGTTTGAATCATCAACGACATCTTTCAACTCGCAAAGAACCAATACCACGATGCATTTGTTTCCTCATCGACAACACTCCAAGCAAGAGAATATATTTGTAGGTTAGCATCTTGTGATGCAACTACTAGTAGTGTTCCCTTATATTGGCCCTTTAAATGACTTCATCAACACAAATTAGTGGCCTCATGTACTCTCGAAAATCACGTACACTAGGCCCGAATACTAAGAAGAAGTACAAGAACCTATTATTCGAGTCGAGTTCAATGTGTACAATAGTTCCTGGATTTTTCTCAGTTAACATGTGACAGTATGATGGCAATTTCTAAAAACTTTTCTTCGGGTGTACCAAGAAGAAATCGAAGTCCCTTCTCTTTAGCCTTCCACGTTTTGTTGTAGGTAATCCGTACACCAAACTCACGTTTCATATCCCCAATAACACCCGCGGGAACGTATGATTGGTTTGCATCGTCCAACCTTCGCATTATGTGATGCCCAATTACTGCACTCGTTGCGTGAATTTGTGCATTTCGTCGAACGTCTAGAGAACATGTGTGCTCAGGTATGTACTCTCGAATCTTAAATATTTCTGAAGTTTTTATCTTAGAAGCTCTCACTAGCCAATAGTATGTAGTATCGACACAACACACAGTAAGAGATCTAGGATTCGACTTTTTAACCTTGAAATGAAACTTCTCTTTCAAAGCCTTAAGTTGAAGCCTTGTGTGTAACTGTCGCTTGCTAAAAAATATCTGATTCTCCACAATGTCATTTTCATCAATTGACTCAATTGCATTTTGAATAAACAAATTCCCTTTACATAAACGTTCATCCGTATTATCAATCATTTGTAGCTCTTGTAGTTCGCACATACCAACTTCGTCGCGTCCACACAGTGCATCTTCTATTGGTGACAAAGGCTCAACTCCGACATGCATTTCGTGCTCTCCAGCATTATATTCATCTGCAATTACACACAATGCCGCTTCTGTGTGAACAGACATAAACCATTGCAAATCATCATCGTCAGCTACATCAGCAAGGGGTATATTCATGTTCGGAACTGTAAATTTCAATTGAATTCGGAACTTCATTCCATCAACATTCAGCTTCTCGAATGATTTATGTACAAACTCTTCATATGTAATATCATGTCGAACAACAATTGATGTTGTTCGATTCCTTAAACACTTCCACCCGTCGTCCATGTTGACGAGTATACCACCACACGAGATAACAAATCTCTTAACATCTTCCATATCTGCATGTCATAAACAACAATACTGTCAGCCACCAACGAAAACTGAAAATGAAAATGCTACCTGCATGCAATATGTGAAACGCTATAACGAAATTTTTCCAACTTAATCAAGTTTTTAATGTTCTTGTCAACATTTGATAGTGTCGAGAATGATGGTGTAAATATCATTCTATCATTCTCGACATTTATAAATGTCGTGAATGACATTTATACTATCATTATCGACATTTATAAATTGTTGAGAATGAAATGACGGGATTCCATGCATTTATCATTTTTTTCAACTTCAACCACCATTTTTGCAAGAATTTATTCCACCATAAATGATATTCTAAATACAGAAGTATATTATCTAACCAAATTATTTAAGATGAATGGTACAAAAAATATATACTTAGTGTTTGGATAATTTCGTCCATTTAAGGGAAAAATACCTTATCAAAAAATTGAAATTTGAACATATATAACAACTACTACTAAATAAAAATTATAAAAAAAAATGAGAGTTCGAAGAAATATACCTTCGACCGAGAAATGATGAGAGCCTAATCAGTTTCAAATTTCGACCACAGTAAATTTCTTCACATGAAATAAAATGATTTCTTTGGAGTTGAAATCATATACTTCTTTGTATGTGTTAATGGAATTTCTACTTCTTCTTCATTTGTTCTAGAATAATTGATTAAAATCTAATTAAAAACGTAGGCAAGTGGACTCACCTAGGTAATAGGAACATTATTGTAACTTCTTATAGAAGTTATTTACTCTTCTAAAGAATTGTGCCAAAGTGATATAAAATTGATTAATCTTTTCATGAGGGTAAAGTAGACAATTTGCTATAGAAATTGAACATTTTTGCAAGAATTATCAAAATATGACACTTTTCAACTCACACCCCTAAAATTGGATATTCTTGAAAATGCCTTAATAAACAAACAAACAAATGGGTTCGTTAAAGAGGCAAGGTCTATCCCACCATAAACGGATAACTGGGCAAGTACGGGTTCCCGCCTTAAACGGAAAACGGAACAAGTCGGGAAATTGCCAGAGGGAAACCGCCTTGTTGCCATCGCCGGCAGGAAAATAGAGATCGTCGAAGTCCAAGAACACAATGTAAGGATTTCTTAATCAATAGATGGGCTTATATGTGTAAATAATTGTGTGTTAAATTCAAGGCTATTCGAATTCAGTTGAGTCCAATTAAAGTGGTTTAATAAGGTTTCGATTTTTGGGCTTTAATGTATCCAATTAAAGTATGAGTTTATAAATGTGTAGAAATCAGACCCAAATCTTAATTCTATGATGGGTCGAATTAGGTCAAAGAGCGTCGCTATATAAATACTATTATGGTCCCCAAATGACACGTACGTATTATTCATTCTCTATTATATCTCATCACAGAGAGAAAAATGAGACTGCGTGTAGATTTGAAAGACAAGACCGCGTAATTCATTATTGTATTAACAATGTCTGATCAGGTACGCTTCCGTTATATTTCTTCAATTTCTTGATGATTTAATATGAAATGATCCGATTATTTAAAGCAATAAATTATCCTCTACACCGATCGCGAAATAGCCCCAAGTTAATTCCAAACAGGAAGATTGAATGATCCATCAGATGAAATCCCAATCACAGACGTCGAACAGAAGAGAAAACCCGAAAGAAACGCCCGCAGCTCAAGATGCAAATGCTGAAAATGGATAAGAACAGGTGCCGCCAACACCAAGAACAAACAAGGTTAGTCCTTAAACCAAGATTGAGTTTCACCGGACCAAGAATTGATCCTCGATGTCTCAGAAATACCAAAAGAATTGAAGAACTCTATTTAATTTTGAGGGCTATAATACCATGATAAGATTGTAGAATTTTCATTCCATTAAATAGAAATTTTGTTCCTAATTTCAGTCCCTAATTACAGTCGAAATATTTCTATCAAATCTCCTAATTTCCTCACTTTCCTGATTACAACATAATCATGTTTCTTATATAAGGAAATAAAGACTATTCTATGTTTACAATATAATTATGTAATGTGAGTGATATACTGACAATTAGTACTGGATGGGAATCAGTATCACCAAGACTTCGATTTTTCTAATCTCAATTTCAATGATCTATTCAATCAGTGGTTTTGAATTGGAACGCGCTAAATTAATTAAGTGGTAAATTAGTCACCTGATTCATCATGTTCATGTGCTTGTTGTGAAAGTCCCAGTCAGTTTCTGTAGTTACATTCTCTTAGGCAGTCCTTGAGAGGAAGAAACAATCCCAGATAGATTTTTTCTTAAAAATTTCTCTGTTCTCAATGGATGTGGCAGTTTATCTATTAAGTTCTATTTCTTTGTGCTCCTTATATAGTTTATGTCAAATAATCTACCCAATAGAATGAGACGCAGATGAGTTATACGCAAATTAATAGCAGATGAGTTATACGCAAATTAATAGCACCATGGTGGGAAATAGTCTTGTTCACCTGAAGAATTCTGCTCTCGATATTACAGGTGAAAAAGTTCCAGAGAGCTTGTCTGAAAAATCCTGTTAAGGTATATTAATGCTTATTCTTTTCTTGTCATTTTTTTTGGGTAACTTCTCAGAGTATGTTTGTGTTAATTGTTTAAGTATAAATGCAGGTTGAAGCTACGTCCAAATACTCAACTGTGTATACGCTGAAGCAAAAGTTTTGCTTCATTTTTCAAAGCATAAAGTCTGTAGATTCCCCTGCTTCACATTCCTTTTTGTGTGGTATCTATAAGAGACAGTTTACTGTTGTATGACTTGCAAAAGAACTGCATGAACATTAATTTGGTGATTATTGGATTTTGTTCGGTTGGATAGGGTGGAAAAAATTGAATCCACGCTTGTGGTAAAGAGTACGTTATTGCATATTGTGAGTCAATGTTAGATAAAGTGAAAGTTGCAAGATATTTCTTTTCTGAATTATTTCATGTAGTTTTCTTCAGTTTCTGTACCTTATATTTTGCTGCAAGATTGCTATCTTGTTCATATTCTCACCAAGATGTCAGGAAAGACATCTATGGTTTTTACTAGAACATGTAAATGTGATGCAAATCGTCTTTTGGGTGAGTGGTCAAATGAGCCAGGTATATTTCAAAAATCATATAGCATTTTATTCTAAGGTAATTTATTTTCATCTACATGATATTATTTTTCTTGATAATTGTTTGCAGGAGAAAAGGACTTGGAGCCTTGAACATATTCAAAGAGGAAGAGTGCGATGTACTTATATGCAATGATGTTGCCAGTAGAGGACTTGATATTCCTTCTGTAGATATGGTTATCAATTATGATATCCCAATGAACTCAAAGGTTAAGATTTATTCTGCATGGTTTCGATAATGTTTCTTGTTCCAAATGCGTCCCTTCGCCTGTATACAATTCTGAGTTCTCATCTCCTGTTAACTGGCCATTGATAATGCAATTTAGATTATGTTTGGCTGCTTTTATCTCTTCCTTTTAATTATCCGATGTAAGTCCAAACCTCTTATTATAATTTTTACTCAGACTTTTTTTTTTTTTTTCCATTTTTTTAAAAAAAATAAATTAGTCACAAAAGATAAAAAAAAAAAAATAACGTGACTCAACTAATTTAATAGAAACTAAAGACTAGCAAAAGTAATTGACTCAATTTTGAAATTAACTCAAAAATTGAAATAAAATATGTTGGTAGCAATTGAACGAAATAATAATATAATATTTTTTTTGGCTTTTTGCTTTTTTTTTTTTTTTTTTTTTTTTTTTTTTCTTGTTTTTTTCTTTTTTTTTTTTTTTTTTTTTTTTTTATTTAAAAAAAAAAAAAAATTAGTTGATAGAATTGCATGAAACTCGAGTAACATGAAAACTGATTACAGGATAAGTCCATCCCTTTTTCTCACACTAGAGCAGAAATGAGTTTCATTCTTTAGTTATATGGAAGAGAATAGAATGATACTCATGAAGAATAATAAGAAAACCATAATTAGGGGATAAATCAATCCAGCTATGCTTCACACTCTATCAAGCTAAATAACCAAATAATTATCACATCTTTGATCCATAAGCATGTCAAAACCTGATGGGATTTTGATGGGCATGTTTGATTTTCTCCATTATTCTTGCCTTGCATGAGGTTAGAACAACTTCCTTCTGGATCAAATTTCAATGTGCAATGGAGTTATTGCTAAGTATGTGTCGAATGTTATAATGATATAATGTGCAATGCTTGAATTTCAAATTGTTCTTCAAGGTTTCTTCTGGCATGTCCTCTCTTTACTAGCCCTTGCATTTTACTATTTTCATGAAAAGTCTCGCAACTTCTCACTTCCTTTGGTCTGTTCTTTTTCCCCCTTCTGATGATGTTTGTTAAGAGTCATAATATTCTATCATCCAGATATTAATATGAGGCTAAGAAGATAATGCCTCGCTAGAATGTTACAAATAGAATGTTACAGAGGCCAAAAGAATATCGAAGATGGTATGTATAGACTATTCTCTTCATCTGACGAAGAGTAATATAGTTTTTGCTTGATTGAAATATTGGTTTTCATTCCCTTTTGTTGAACTGTGATTTTCTAGGCTATAAATTTGCTTTTATTTTCTTCAAACTTTTGCTGAAAATCAAAGAAACCAGAGGCTAGAAGACACGAAAACAAGATGATGATAACGCAGAGGACACTGATAAATATTTAGGTCTCAAGAAAACGAAGTCATTTGAGAAATGAAAGAGAAGATAACAGAAGGATTTTCTGTCAAGTTTTGTTCAAATTAGGACTAGTCAATTTTATACTTATTCATAATTTTGTTTTTCTCGTGAGAGTTTGTGACACAATTTTGATTATGATTTTTTATGGTATATATGATTTTGCCTTTATTACCAAATTTCTCCTCCTAATGTTGTCATATTATCATGTATTTTCGAGCTACTGACATTCTGTTTTAGACAGGAGCTGTAGTTCTTGTCACTCAGAACTAAGAGATTTGTATTTAATATGGCTCTTGGATTACATGCAGTGTTTTAAAAGGTGAGTCTAGGAGGGGCCAAGGCATCAACCAGGCACGATGCGTGGCGGAAATACCAAGTCAAGTGGATTGGTGCCTTATTTAGCAACCGCTGATAGATAATGCATGCCTAGGCATGATTATGCGCACTTTATTATCTTTCTTTTTTTTATTCTTAATAATTCTTTTAATTTAAAACTTAAATGCTGATTTCATCACTTTATTTACTCTAAATTCAAAATTGCTGCTTGAAACTTTGAACAAAGGAAAATTCTAAAAAATTTCTAATTATTTACTATTTGGTATTTACATTTGAAGCTTATTTTTTGTTGGAAACTTTAAAAAAAAAAGTATAAAGTTCCTATAAATCTGTTTTAGATGTTTGGTAAGTATTATTTTTAACTATTAAATGATTTTTTGATTGATTAAAAATTAAAATAATATTAAAATAAAAAAAACTCTTTTTTACGCTTTTTATGTCTATGCCACACCTAAGCTCGTCTAGCCCATAAATTGGTATCTATGCATCCGGTGGCGGAACAAAAAATATTGTTCAATAAGAGCGAAATTTAATCTAGGTCGAACTCCTAGTTTTCAAGACCTGAGACGGACTTTAAATTTGTCCTTTAAGTTATAGTGTGCAATATGCATTTAAATTTTTCTAACCAATCTATAACAAAAGTGGATAAGTTCTTCTTGGTAAAAATTTATGGGTCTTAATATCCCAGGCCCAAAGGTGGGTCCATCCCTGTAAATGCGTCGGCATGCTTTAAGCATTTTAGAACATGGATTCCATGTACAACTTTCAAATGTAGGGCCTTAAGAGCTATTTTATCTTTATTTTCGTTGTTAGCTTTTTTGTTTGAATTTTGAATATTTGACAGTTAATTAACGCCACAAAATAAGTGGCCTACGGTTGCATACATTTCAAAAAGTTTATTGAATGCAATTTATGAACTTATTGTCAAGAATAATGCTCTTTGTATACTCCATGTTGTACATGGAATTTGACATTGCTTGCAAATTCAAAAATGTATAGATAGGAAAGTGTTTTTCATTTTAAAACTGGTCATTCGTTGTGCGACAAGTGACACAATGTCAAACTTAATGTCAAAAAAAGTGTACATGAAGTAAGATTATATTTTCAAATACCTTCGTACGTCTTTAAATTGGTCAAAAACTTTTTATATGACCTTGAAGTGCGAATGAATCCATTTTCTTATATCTTTTCAATAAAGTCCTTGTTTGGTTTCCATTATTTTCAAAATACATTTCATCTCTCTTACTTTTGATCACACATTTTTTAATAAAATAATATTACATGCAAAATAAATTTTTTTCTTATTTTTTAACTACTCATTCTCCATCAAAATATTATTCCAAAATGCAGTTTGAGCGAAAATTGGCATCAAAGAAGCTGAAAATCTTGTGAAATGATAAATAACCTCTCATGTTTAAATAAAATTAATAAAAGAATTAATTTCTATTGTAATCCTAATATCTTTTTTTTAAAGTGTAAACAAATACCAGATAATTAATTGAAAAAATAAAATTCCTCTCTGTCCCATCCACCCTTCTTCCCACCATCACCACCACAAGCCAGCTTTATGGGCACAAATGAAATGTTGGCCACGGGCTTTTCCCTTAAAAATGGCTGTTAATTAAACCGAAGACCATGAACAAAACAATGGCAACTACTCCGCTAGATTTAAATTTGAACATGGAGAGGTCTCGACTAGATTCCTTTAAGGATGATTTGAACCAATCGTTTTCTTAGTAGGTGTGAGAGAAATGAGATTTTTTTTTTTTTTTTAATTTTTTAATTATTTATTTGGGAATTGTTTTTAACTTTACGTGTAATATTATTTTATTGAAAAATGTGCGGTTGAAAAAAAAGAGAGATGAAAATGAATTATTGTTTAATGGAGGCCAAACAAATGGTAGGCTCCTTTAAGGATGATTTGAACCAATCGTTTTACTTGGTTTTGAATTTCTTGACAAATGTTGCAATATTAGGATAGGTGGTTTCCGTCGTTTCGAATTTCTTGGAGACCTTGTTGATGGTGGATTTGAGGGATTTGTGGGATGAAGTACGACAATAGCAATGGTTGTGATAGTTGTGGGAAGACGAGTACGTGGAAAGATGATTAGGTGCAAGAGAAAAGAGTTTTATTTTTTTTATTTTTTTATTTTTTAATTATTTATTTGGAATTTGTTTGCACCTTTTGAACAATTTGGAATTACAGTTGAAATTAGTTCTTTATTTTTTCATTTTTTGTTTTATTTAAATAGAAGGATATATTCGACATTCACAAAGGCTTTACTGAGAAAATAGAAGAAAAAAGAATCTTCCGCACCTCAAAGATCATATAGGAGATTTTCAGCCAATTTAAAAAGGTAGGGGATATTTGGCAATAGATCCATACGTTGGGTAGGTATTGCGTCAACAAACCTTTCAAAAAAATAATATAGATTTGCCTATTTGAAAGTATTGTCTTAAGACCTTAAAAAAATAGGTATTATCTTCGGGAATTTATTTATTTATTTATTTATTTTGCAAAATACGTGTGGATAATGTTAAGGGTCCATAAAACTCTCGAGTACAACCTCTCGAACGTGCCTTATCTTTTTTATTCTATACTATTTGTCAAATCCCATTTGTTAATAAGGAGGACTGGAGGAGTTCCACAAAGATAATTCATGTCTTCTATTTCTGATAAGTGTTAAGGGAATATAAAGAGTCATTTAAGGTCTGTTTGATTGCGAATATGGAATTTAGGTGGAAAGAAAATGAATTTCAAGGAATTGAATTACCTAGAAATTGTTTTCATGGAAATTGTAAATTATTGTGTTTGATTGTATAAACTTTTCACGTGGAAAATGTTGAAGTAAAAGTATTTTTTGATGTTCGTTTGACTTTGTTTTACGTGAAAATTGTCAATTTCAGGGATATCTTCTTTTACAATTATTCCTAAAATTTGTTCCCATTGCCAACAATTAAAAAAAATAAAAAAAAAGCAAAAAAAATAAAAATAAAAAAAGGTGGAAAACCAAAAACCACCTATCCCCTAGGAAAAAAAAAGGTGGAAAATCACGCTTTAAGGTGTTGTACCTAGAAATTCATGGAAAATCAATTCCCTGGAAAATTTTGTCAATCAAACAGGCCAAAAGTGAAAGTTGGAATTCGAATTCCAAGTTCCATGGAAAATTTCGTGCAATCAAACGGGGCCTTAGACAATTGATACAGGCTGCTGGTGTGTTTCTAGATAAATCTCTAGTACACTACCACAAACAATTTTTAGTTTTCCGGGTGCATTTGTTTTAATTTGGTGGCAGGTTGGCTTATAAAATTACTCGCAAGGACAGAAAAAAATTATTAAGACTCAATACCTTATCTCTTCTTATAAATATAAACTTATATTTTGAACCTAAATGATTAATTTTTTTTTTTTTTTTTTATGACGGGAAAACCCGCAGCTGCTACCCTTTTTGTGCGCACTAGATAAACACTTGGACTGACACAATAGGCAAACCCGATGCGACAAGTTAGACTGAGAAAGTGTTGGTAGGAGGAATTGAACTCGTGACCAAAGGCCTTCGCGCTCACCTATTCCACCAACTCGGTCACCCCATGAGGGCAACCTAAACGATTAAATGCATTGTACAGGTTAGCATGAGCTTAACACTAGAAGGATAAACAGCAACAGTGTAATATGAATTCCAGAGGCTATGAAAATCCAGCATCACATAAAATCAGGAAAAACTGGTTCAATGATGTGGTCCACCAACAAGGTGGTCCGCAAATTCATAAATTGCATGTATAAAAAAGAAAACGTGGGTATTCCAAATTTCATTACAAAAAAAAGTTAAATTATTATCCCTCCTGCTGGTCCCTCTTCTGTTGTCTCCAAAGTACTGGTTCAATGCGTGCCATTAGTGGGTATTGTAGGTCACTCCTGTTCCTATATTCAATGAATTTGACACTTTGTTGGGCTTAATTATATTGTCCTTTTTTGGTTGAGGAATCTGGGGTTTTTTAAATTTGAAGTATTGATGTGAAAATTGTTTGGTACTAATTTGGGGAGGAATTGATTTGAAATTTGTTTCAGTGATTTAGAAAAATTAGAATTTTCGAATTGGGGGATGACAAAATCGTGTTTGAGGATGAAGGAAAACGCTATTTCAATTAATTATTTTTGATCAAGTGTCAATAATTAACGACGTTTCTTTACACATAAGATTTTCATCCGGCATATGTATTTTTTTTTGTTTAGGTAGACAGACGGAATTGACATAAGTGATGAATGGATAACTTTGTGTAAAAGCAAGTAAACAAACATCCTCAAATCATTTTTGGCACCAGACATCCCAAATGTAATAGCCACACCCACTCAAGAAAAGTCGATTTTGGAGGCCTTGAGGTTGAACTGTACCATAAATAATTCTATTTTAATGTTGTTATTTCTTTGAGTAGCACACTTACACACGAGGCCTGGACTATTATTATAAACCCATAATTTTCTCTTCTATCCATAAACTATTCTGATCGTAACTATTCTGATTGTATACGTATGGCATGAACCACGACACAGCCGTAGGAGGTGAGGACTCCTCCAGCCTCTAATTTCTTTCTTTTAATTTTCCTTCTTGGATTATATATTTCAAGTTGTCTAGATGTTACAGGTGTCGCTGTAACATCCAGAAATTTATTACAACATGATTATTTAATGATAAGGGTTTCGACCTAAAACTTTTAATAGTTTTAAACAGTTGGTGTACTAAAGTGAAATAAGTATATATCAATTAGTATTTTGGTCAAATAATTAAATATTGATAGAGCGAGAATTATTTTGTCAATATTGGACTCGTTTGGTTGCTCATATTTAATCTTGTCTCTCTCTGGTTCGCACATGGTCTCGGACCACATGGGTTAACCTCATCTCTCTCTGATTCACCTTCCCCAACCATGAGTCAAGGCCAATTTTGTCTAGAACGAGTTG